GTGAGCTGGAAGGCTGAGCTCGGAAGGTCCCACTGCTGAGCCCAGCTGGGCTCCTTGGTGAGAGCCTCCTGGAGATAAATTCTAACAATGGGCTGGGGGTGAAGTTTATCAGAAGGCCCTATGTTCAATCCCTAAATCCTAGGCACCAGTAAGAGAGCAAGAGGGAAAGAGAGACAAAGAAAGAAAAAGGGAAGGAAGGAAGGAAGGAAGGAAGGAAGGAAGGAAGGAAGGACGGACGGACGGACGGACTCGCACACTTCCCGCCTCCTAAGCGTGCAGTCCCAACACCTCGCAGGGCTGGGCAATGGCCCTAAGCCACACATCTGCCTGCCACGCATTCACTATAACTGGTGGGTACTCTGCAGTGTACTCCATTGCTAACCTATTTCAGTCCATAGATTAGGTACATTAAATGCTTTTGTGACTGGGTTTCTTAGAGTACAAGACCCGAAGTTGGTCAAGGAATCCATACTGCAGTTCAAGGTGGTTCTTCAGAACCCCATTTGGACAGAAAGTTATGATGGCTTGCTGTGGGATACATCCAAGGGGACAGAACAGCACTGAGAAAGGCTCTTTGTCATACTGGGTGACTAACATTCACAGAAACACGAAGAGCGCTTTGCACACGGTCTTCTGCAGGCTTTCACACAGCTTGACTGGGCGGCCCTGGTGAGTTACTTGACCCCTCGGGGCCTCATCTCCTAGTTTTCTCATCTGCTATTTGAAGCTAACAACACTTAGTCTCCACAGCAGCTTCAAGATAGCCTATATACATCCACGCTCCACACAGAATAGCTCTTCAGCGAGCGGCACGTCACGGTCATCGGCAGCATTTTGGTGCCCCCACTGTGGCAGCCAACACACAGCCCAGCAGTCCCTCATAAACACAAGGCTAGATTCATAATGTTTCTGCACAGGGTCAGTGGGGGTTCTGGCAGAAGTTTCTTCCCAAACGTATGATTTCCATTCCTTTGCACATCACTTACAAGAACAAAACGCCAAGGCAGTCAGGAGCTTACCTTTCCTCCAGCCGGACAGTGACCTGCTGCAGGATCTGCACTGCCTGCTTGTGGTACTCCAGCTGGGCCTGCACGAGTGCGGAGAGCTGGCTCACCTGTTCAATCTGTAGATGGACACAGAAACCGTGCCTTAGTGCCCAGGTGCTGTCCTGAAGCAGCCGCGCTGCCCACCCCCAACACTCACACATGTGGAAGGACGGTCCCCAGCCCACACTCTAGCACTGGGCAATGCAAATGGCCGTGGCAAGCCAGGCTAAGACAGATGTTTCCGCAGGATACAAAAATACCCTTATGCTTGGAACCCTGTACATCAGGACCATGAGGAAAGGCAGTATTAGAAAGACTCCTCATGAAGACCGCCTAACTCCTATGGCAAAGTCTCATTCTTAGCTACACTCTTTTGAGAGGACGTGGCTCTTGCTACTTTTCTATAGGAAGAAGATGCATTGGCCAGACAACTCTTGCTTCCCTACTTCTCTTGCTAAGCTAGTATCAGTGCCACGAAAATGTGGCTGCTGCCTCTCCTGGTGGGCAGCCACGGAGTCAGGACGGCATGCCAGAGAATCTTCTGTGAGCCCTGAGCCCCATGTGCAGTGTAAAGAGGCTGGGTCAGGGCACATCTTGCTTTCACTCTACTCTAATGTTCTAAGCTGCCCCCTTCGTCACTTCCACTTTGCGTCTTGCGCTGTGCTGTGATCCGGGGGGGCAGCGACTCCTGGCTCACACAGGCTATGCTGTTCTGTGAGCCGCAGGCTGGGTGGGATCCTGGCAATGAGAAGGACTATGATTCAGGGTTTCACACAGGATCCCTCCATATTATATCGCTTCATATACATATACATGTGCACAGTCTGTGGGTAGGAGGAAAGTCAAGGCAGGATTAAAGCAGATAAAATATGTGATGGTTAACTTCAGGCATCAATTTGACTGGATTAAGGAATACTAAGATTAGCCAGCAAAACCTTACTCGGTCTACGATGGTGTTTCCAAAAGATACTAACATCTCGATCACTGGTTCTAGGGGTGTGGGGCTGGGGTGAACCCAGGGTCTTACTAAGTTGCCCAGGTTGGCCTCAAACTTGTGATCCTGATGCTTCAAGCTCCCCAGCCTCTGGAGTTGCAGGTGTGCACCCCATGCCCAGCTGAACCAGCAAGGAGGAGCCGCTGTTACCCAGCGATGGTAAGCACTACCCAGCCATCTAAGGGCCTTGATAGAACAAAAGGACAGGAAGTTGGACATCGGAGTTCCAGTTCTCCAGCAATCAGACTCACACTCCAGGCCTTGCACCAATGGCTCCTGCCTCTGCCAGGTCCTCAAGCCTCTGGCCTCAGGGAGAGAGAGACAGTTCTCCCTTGAGCCCACTGCTTCTCAGGCCTTCACACTTGGACTGAGCCCTGACACTAGCCTCTCTGCCGCTCCAGATTTCAGGAAACACAGTGTGCAAGACTCTGAGCCTTCCTGACCTCGCAAGCTGATTTCCCCAACGTGGCTCTCCTCCTATAGCTACACATCTGTGTCTGCATTTGTATCTACACCCTGCTGATTCGGCCTGTCTGTAGAGCCCTGACTGATATAGGAACTGGTACGCAAAGGATCGGTCAGCATCTCAGTGGAAGCTGACTGGCAGCTGGAGGGCCTGGAAGAAGAGACAACAATGATAGGAAAGTCTAAGGCCACTAATACTAACTGAGTACTCTGAAGATTCAGGTGCAGCTTTTACCCCACTTTATCTAAGCTCCACATATATTTCCTTTGCCACAATCATCAATCCTAATAGAAATTATTTTTTCAAAAAAAAAAAAAAGCCAGCTTCACTTCCAAGTACAGATCATTTTAGTCTACGGTGGACACAACCTGGAATGTGTTTCAGTTGATATTCATTTATAATCAGAATCTGCTGGACCTACATTTCTAGAGTGCTTTTATTAAGTAATGGATTTGCACAGGACCATCACAAATACCCTTTATCTTGGCACTGTAGGTAACGCATCAACATTCAGTAGCAGGCAAAAATCTATTTAATCAAACTGCAAGGAAGAAGAAAAATCTTTCCCATTTCTCAATCTATTTATCATTTAAAATAATTTAGAAGCAATTGCCATCTATGTGTTCCTAGCACAGAATATAACCAGACATTAATATTTTTTATAATGTATTTTAAACACATTTCTGTGCTGCCATGATACAATTAAATTTTAAAAAGCCATGAAAGAGTTACTTACATCCATCTCCAGGAGATTAAACATGCTCGACTCGGCGATTTCTTTAGACTCATCAAATTTCTCCAGAGCTTGACGGAGCTCTTCGTCTGGAATTTTGCCTTGTCGCTTCTTCTTGTAATCAAAGTCCAGGCGCCGACCTTCCAGCTTCTTCAGGTGGTGCTGAGGGGTCAAGGACAAGACACGCTGCGAAGGATTTACAGGAACGTTGCCCTGCAGCCCGCCTCGCCCTCGTGTTTCTGGCCCATGGAGAGAGCAGGTAGGCTCTAAGCGAGCACATGGCCAGAGGGGAAGAAGTACCGGCGAGGCCAAGACCTCCAGGGGCTAAGTGTGCAGCAGCATCTTTGGATACAAGGAAGCGTGAGAAAGAAGTCGTGGGAGTCAGCAACGGTCTTTATTTTACAGCTTCACCAGGTGAGAGCCAAGCTGGACTCATCCTCCCCTTCCATGATGAGAGGGGAGTGCGGGCACACCCTAAGCATATGGAAAGCTCAGGCGTGCAAGCCCCCAGCTTCTCACCTTCAGGAGAGAGCAGAGGGAACGAAGCCTCTGCTCAGTCACCGAGCGTGTAAGCATCACTTAAGTTTTGGGTTTTTTTTTTAATTAACTTTATTGAGAAACAAATAGCAATGAGACAGTTTCAAAACCGATTAGTAGGACAGTTTCAATAATTAATACATTGCATATTGTTGTCTTTGTAATGGTTATCCATAGTACTGGATGCCAACATGATATTCTGTCTAAACATGGATAGTACAAATCATTCTCATTGAATTAAGAGAGAGTAGCTATCTGTCCTAATTATTTTGTATATACCAATACAAAATGGTCTTTCATTTATATCCCATTTTTTTGTTTAGTTTTGTCAGAGATGGGTATTCCATTGCCACTGAAATACTGTAGGTGTGTGAATTCAGCAAAATAGTCCAACGTAGTCCAGCAGTCCAAAATAGTAGTGGGTTATCCATAGGACTGACAATGTCAGAAGTTGTTGACTTGAGCCTTTTAGAGCTCAGCATATTAATATGGCTTTACTTTTTATACCTCGTTTTTATACTTTTCTGCTGGATGCTTAAGACCAAGATAAAGCAAGACCTATATAACAAGAAATACTGTAACATCCTGTAACTCAGTGGTGTCCCAAATTTTCTGATCAAGGAGATTATGAGACCAGAGAGGAAAGTGACTGATGATGTAGAGTGTGCCTAAGGAGAGTCACATGGAGAGAAAACATTCTCTCAGGCTTTCACAGAGAGCAAATTGGTCAAGCAATGGCCGTGACTCATCCACATGGCTGACACTAACGAAGGATCTACAAACTGCAGTACCGAGCTTCAGGGTAAATCCTGAGGGGATTTGACTGACCTTGTCAGATACAAAAGTCACTTAAGTTTTGAATCACTTGAATCACAATATCCAGTGCCAAGTCTTAGGAATATACATCTAGGTGACCAGTACAGCATTTGAGGACCACTGACAGCTTCCCCCTTCTAGCAGCCAGGTGATGCAAGTCTGCCATAAAACCTGACCTGCACAGGAAAGCTCAGAAAGGGCTCTAAGGGTCCACACTGAGCTTCAGGCCCCAGGAAGGTCTCCAGCCTCTGCCCATCATCTCTGGCAGCCAGGTAGGAGGGAGTTTCCCAGAGTAAAAAGGTATTTTTTCCTGAGTGCTGTAAAGAACCAACAGGGAAGGTCATAAACAATGACCTGGTCATTCCCTGCCTCTGCACCCCTCCCCTTAATCCATAATTGAATGCCTCTTCTTTTGGAAGGAACACTCAAGACTCCTGAACTTGTAGCCAGCTTTACGGTAGAGCACTGGGTCAGAGTAACCATTTTAGCTAGACTGACAGGAACCTGAGTTCAAGCATGCCAGGCCATTTATCAGCCAGCAAAATCAAGTTTCAGGTAAGTACAACAATTTTTTTATAGAATAAATAAATGAATGAGCAAATATCACACACCCAGTTAGAGACCAAGCCAGCTGAATTGCATTTATTCTAAATAGCTCGACAGTTCTGTATTTATAAAGAGCGTAGAGGGCTACTCTTCCTCAATCACAACAATCATTACGAAAATGTTTATTTAAGAGTGATCTGAAAATTATTTAAGCTAGCAACTAACTACTACAGCTAGCATTTTAGGTTATTGCATCAGCTTACCACATCATTCTAATTAACAAAATTGCCTATTTGCATATAAAGGATGTTACCCATGCAAGGAAACAATTTAAAATCCAAGTAACACTGTGAAAGGCACAGACGAAAGAGTGGGTAAGGAATACTGCATTTCTAGGGCCGGGGAGATAGCTCAGTGGAATAAGTGTCTGCCTGGCAAGCGCAGGGTCCTGAGTTCAATCCCTGCACTGAAAAAAAAAGTTCAATCCCTGGTACTGAAAAAAAAAAAGAAAAGAAAAGAAAAAAAAGGAATACTGCATTTCTGGTTCTTCTCAGTCTTGCGGGGCTGTTTTAAAACTCACGTGCTCACTGTCATGAACACGAACACTGAGCTAAGCAATTGCTTTCTAAGGAGAATGGGCACGTGCGTCTACAAAATTTAGCTACTCGCTTGGCAGAGTCCGCGACACACTCACCTGAATTTCTCTCAGGTCTTTGTCATGAAGATTCTGGAGCGGGTCGATGAAGTTCTGCTTCACTTCCATGTCCAGTGAGTCCTTCACCTCGGAAAGCTCCCGCATGGCCTCCCCCACCTCGCCAAGCGCTGGACCTGCAGGGAGAGAACAGAGTTCTTGGACCTCAGAGAACAAAGGCACGACACATTTTCAATAAAAAGGCCTTTGTAGATGGAACACGGGGGCCACACTCAGCCTCTGGAAACAGCACAGACAAGAGGGAGTGCCCAGCCCCAGAGAGCAGCAGTCCCTTCACCTCGTTGGTTCTGGGAGTCAGACTTGAGGCCCCTCCTAAGAAGGAACATCCTTGTTATCAAGAATGTAATGCTTTCTTTTTCCTTCAAAAATAATGTGATTGGCTCTCTGCCTTCTCTTATACAAACCAGCTCACCCTAATATAGGATGAGCTTCAGGTCAATGAGTTTAGCAGGAACAACTACCAAGAATAAAGACCAAAGTTCAGCCAGGAAGGCTAACCATCTGGTGACCTTATACCTGGAGGGGCTGACGCCAGATATTTAGTGCTGTAACTAAAGGGGGGTAAAGGATTACAGCGTGTCCACCTGCAGCATGGAATCAGGGGCCGCAGGACAACAAACAAGACACAAGAGCCCCCATGCAGCAGGGCACCGCAGCAGCGAGCACGCTCTGCCTCAAACCCGCTTCCTGCCCACACATCCTACAGCAGGTGCCGCGCAGTCTCTGGGATCAGCCAAAGCTGGCGAGAGGACCAGGAGTTCACCAGGGCAAAGGAAAAAGAATGCTCGTAATATAAACCACCTCAACAATAACAAAGCATTTCTAGAAACAAATGCTGCGCCCAAATGTAAGATCTAAGACCAGGATTCAAATACGAAATACTTGGGCTGGCTTCCTGCGGGCCCTCCTGGCAGCTTCGCCACCCGGGCCCTCCTGGCATCTCTGCTACCCGGGCCTCCTGGCATCTCTGCCCCCCGCAGCTGGGCAAGTGCACAGAGCGAGAAAGCGCTCCTCACCGAAATTGCACTCCTCTCCGAGCTCCCTGCCGAACTTGAGCATGGCTTCCGCCAGCAGCGCCTCCGCCTGCGGGTAGCCCGGCCCCTTCTCCTGGCCGCGGATCTTTGACATGGTGTTGATCATGCTGAGCTTAGCCCTGGATGCTGAAAGCAAAGAAAGAGCAGACTTTCACACTTGGCATTCAATCCAGTGGGGAGCGCTGGATGGACAGCCCGGCCTTAAACCTGTTCAACTAGGGAAAGCCACACCTTCACTGTTGTGGCTCCCGACTGCAGTATGCAGACACGAGTATACTTGCCACCCTAAAGTCTGCTTTCCCTCCAGATCATAAGAGGAACTGAAGGAAAAACTTCCCTGAGGCCGGATCAGGTACCACGTCCACTCTCCTTTCTCACCCTCTATTAATTGTTGCGGCCTCAGCAGGGACTCCAGGGTGCTGAATGTCTCCAGGAGATCATTTGGCAAACTTACGAGTTACATGATGACCTTTAAGTGTTATTTTAGCTTTCTATCCCCCTCCTAAGAGTCAGTGGATTTAAGTAAGGAATCAGTGGTGTATTTGTAGTGTGTTCGTGTCATGTTCTACATACACTGTGCATCAAATTGAATATTTTCAAATTATTTCTCAACTAAAATTACAACCATAAACAGATCCATGAAGAACAGGAATGTGTGGTCATTAATTACAAAAATTTGATTCTCTTGTACAAAATTACATTTGAAATGGTTCTGTACCTCAGAGATAGCATTTCGTCACTGAGGCTGGCATCTGTGTTCTTCAGGCGTGCCGTGGGAGTCAGGGTCACATGCCAGCCCAGGCTGCGTCGCTGGGATGAGGACCCCCACCCCCCCAGGTCACAGGTAAAGGCAGTTGTAGCAGTCATGGCTGAAGTTTGACCTTGAATATACAGTTCAGATAGGTTTTTATTTAAATGTTGGTCCTCAAAGCTTCAACTGGAGGTAAGGAGAGTTAGAAGAGAGGCCTCCCCAACTCCACCAGGAGGAATTTAGAACAAGCAAGGCATCCAAGGGCCCAGGTTTCACAAGCTTGTAAGGAACTGAGGGGAAAGTCTACATAGAAGCAGCCAGAGCGAAGTCTAAATGCCCAGTGCTGTGGGGCAGGGCAACAGAGTCACAGAAATGTGGCACTGTCCAGCAGGTGGGGGTGGGGGTGGGACGCACGAAGACTCCTGGTTGGAAGTACCACCAAGCGTAGGCCACGTGGGGCGGACCAGCTGGGACAGCAGCACTTGCAAAGCTAGTGGTGACCCAAGGAATATAAAATTCACTTTCTTCTTCATTTTCCAAATAAAATACATTATACATGTGAAGTTTTAAAATTAAAACTGCTTCTTGTCATCATCCTTTTTTTTTTCTTGTGGAACTTAGGGCTGAAAGCAGAGAGATATCCTAAGCCTATGTCTTTAACTTTTTTTTATTATGTAGCTTTAAATTTTGAGACGGGGTCTTACTAAGTTACCCAGGCTGGCTTTGAACTTGCAATCCTCCTGCCTCAGCCTCCCAGAGTGCTGGGATGGTAGCAGGGCACACCACAACTTGCCACTACACTCACGCAATTTCAAGGAGACTCTGTCCTTAGAGCACAACTGCAGACCTTCCGTGGCCAGCCACAGCCACGCTCCAGGAGCGCGCAGGCCTGGCGCACAGCGCACACAGCACAGTGAGGGGCAGACGACAGCGGCCAGTGAGGAAGCCTGCTGTCATGGCTGTTGTGTACAAGATGCCAACAGAAAGGTAAAAATGGCACAAGCGTACAGAACCCAACACCAGACAAGAGGCAGTGGGAGAAGGGCAGAATGGAAGGAAAGGAGAAACTACGTGTAGAAAAGGAAAAGTAACAACACCACGCGGAGTGGTAACCCTTCAAATACTGTTCTAATTACATTTTACATCCTAAAACTATACTCCCTTCCTGAATACTGGCTCTTGATATTTGTATTTTATCTTTGTTCTGTTAAGAATGGTCTCTGTAAGCAATCTTAATCCATGCAATATATTACAGACGACTTTCAAATTCCTCATTTTAAGTATTACCCAGGTAAAAAGAATTGTATTTCTCTATAATTTATTTAACAATTCTAGATAAACTCTATATCTTCAAAAAATCTAAATTATTAATGACATACTTGAAAAGTTTGATATTTAAATTCTATCACAAACTCATTGTATTTTTACTAAGAAGCCTGGTTTAGGGAAACTTCTTCTTGAAAAATGTCATCCGTTTTCTGCGTTACTTGTCTGTAAATATTATGACAATTGTTTCAGAATGATTTTCTAATAAGTATTTAAGAAACTGAGTGGCCTGGAAAATACACATAGAAGGCATTCCGACTCCTATCGCACGAGCTCAGCCTGAGCTGCCTCATGAGCGGCCTCACTGTGGAGACCTGAGCCCTTTCTCCTCTACAAGGATCCGATTCCTCTCCTGCAAACCATCTTTTTCTCCACACAGCTTTGCTCTCTCCACTAAAATCTCTGAATATGCCCCATCTTCACTTTCCCACCATCACTGCCCTAGTTCGGTGGTTTATGGAAGAAACGGCTCCCAGCAACACTCTGTCCTGGACCAGGAGAGCAGGACCCTGGTGGGCAATCTACGTGTCTTGCAGTGAGACGTGCCATGGAGCTGTGCACACGGCAGGTGTCCCGCATGTCTGCCAAAGGCAGCAAGGCAGAGTCACTGCCCTCGATAGGTAAGCAGGGCCGCGGCGTGCACAGAAAGGCTGGTCCCGTGCTTTATGCCCAGAATGTTTTCCTTTGGTTGAAAAGTGACACTAAATGGGGTGGGGGGGCAGATGGGCACTGGGGACGGAGCCACGCCTCCGCTGGCGCTAGGGCTCTGTTGTGGTCACCGCCTGCCTTGTGAGGCACTTACGCATCAGTTACCACTAATGCCCCAGGGCCCCTGAAGGGTCCATGCATGAGTGGCTGTCCCCAGGTTGGCCCTGCTGTGAGACGACAGAGCCTTTCGGAGCCTCAGGTGCCTGGGGGGGTGCCCTCCGAGATACCTCCCGGGCCTGCTGGATATCTCTCTGCCCCAGGCTGAGATCTGGCCGTGTGCTCCTATCACGAGGAGCTCTACCACACCCCCCACAGAGGACAATCCAGGAGCCCCCAGTATTGGACCCCGAGACCCCAAAAGTTTTAGCTAAATAAGTCTCTCTTTGCTTCACAAGTAACACATCCAGTATTTAATGACAGCACTGCCAAGCTGACAAAACACCAGGGTGCTGCCCACTTGTCCCCAAGGAACTGACAGCCAGGTCTATAGCCTCTGGACAGAGAACTGAAGACCGCTCTCTGAGAACAAACCTGGTGTGGGCGAAAGAGCTGGGCGTGCTCCCTGCTGGACACAGTCGCAGCCCAGTTGACCACCCAGGCAAGAAGCTGCCCCAGCTAAGAAGCCCACCTACCCACAGCGGCCTTGCTGTCTTACATCTGAGTGGGACAGCACTGTCACCAGATGAACAACTGTAGGGTGGGAAAATAACTATCATTTAATACTCTTGGTATCTAAGATATTTTATTCACAAAATAAATATAAAAAATATCTCAGGAACTTTAAATTTAAATTAAATTTTAAAAATCAACAAAACTAGACATGATAAAATGGTCAATCTTCCGGCCAGGGAGATGGCTCAGGGGCATAAGTGCCTGCCTGGCAAGTGCAAGATCCTGAGTTCAATCCCAAAAAA